CTTTGAAATTTCCAATTTTACCCCCAACGCCCTTCAAGATCGCTGGCGATCATAACATCTGTTGTCATACTTCACTGCCGGTTGTTATGTGTTCCCAATACCAGAAACTTATATCTATAAAGAATTCGAAATTTTCATCTATTTCCGAGTATACCCCTTTTTAAAGTATATTATGTGAATTTGGAGTTCAAATTGACTTGGAGCGCTGACTGAAAAAGAATCGTTTAGTTGCAATTATCTCATTTTCACCTCATTAGGCAATCCTAAGGATGTAAATTTCTTACTGGTTGCATCGATAAGTCATTGTCACATATTTGATAGTAATTAAGGATCATGATAATAAAAATACATGCACATATCCAAGCCCTTCATTACTTTGAATTATAACCATTCTTTGACGTTTCGTCTCCTCCATTCCATAATTTTCCACTTTGTAAATACCTTCACCACTGATGCTATTGGCCCGATAAAAAGTAAGCTTTCATTCATTTTCATTCCAAGCAGTGCCAATACCTAAAGCCGCATCTAATAATATCGCCATCCCTGCCTCATTGGAACACAAGTTTAATTCATTATCATCTCAATTACGGGACAGAATAAAGGAGATTGTAGTGAGGTGATATGGGGTTTAACGTCGCGTCCAAGATTATTGCACTTATATAGCGACGTGCATGTACGTGTGTGTGTTTGTGTGGCTGCTTGTACTAGTCCGGACTGATGCTGATTTATAGTACTAGCTTACTGAGATACCATGTCGCAGTTTAACATGAATACCCCACTCAGACACAGTATACAGACTCCGAGCCGACCAGTCCTTGTTTTAGCCCCTTAATGCCGAGCGCCAGACAGGGTAACAACAAGTGCCATCTTTTAACGTCTTTTGGTATGACGCGGCCGGGGAGGGAACCCCGGACCTTCCGCTCTCCGGGCGGACGCTCTACCACACGACCACGGAGGCGGTCAAAGTGAATAGAAGTGTGCTCGTAAAGATACTGATTTGAAGGGCATCATCTCAGGTTCTGCCTGGCAAAGGAAAGTTCACCCCCCCCCCCCCCTCCCCCCCCCCCCCTTTGTCATACTACCTTGTGGATACTTTATTGTCAGTGGCAGTGGCAGGGTATTGTCTTGTTTACATTATTGAACGACATTAGATCATAGCTATACATGTGGCTTAAGTTATCTTCTTTGCCAAATTCACGAGTTTTGATTTTGCTAATCCGAGCAGAAAAGTCGATGCATATGTACTCCGAAACAGATCAGCAAGAAGGGGAGCACATTTGGTGTCCATGGGGATGCCTACATCTTGCCTAAATTTCCAATGCCCACATTTCACATAGATGTTATTTACGAGGAAGTCCAGCATTTCACATGTTATTTTATCAGTAAACAGGTTACGTTTGCTTTCATTTTTGACAAATTGTCCTGAACCTTCCTGAACGGACGTTCTTCATTATTTTGTGTGAAATAGTTGTGTTCAGAGTGTCATGAGAGAATTTAACATTACCTAAGACAAGTATACATTTAGTGTCGTTTGTCTAAAAACTTATAAAAACTAATAACTGTCGCATTGATTTTTGAGTATTTCCTCATTTCTCAAATTTTGCATATCCCCGTGCCCTTCTCATACCTAATCCTTCATGTCAGTGTGTATTGTAAACACATCATGTAATTCATGGGGGCCCAGACGTCTAAGACGCCGCGACTCACTGTGCAGAGTTGCGTCCCTTGGGCATGCCAGAAACCTATGATGGTGGGTTCGAATCCCGGTTCGCCCCGATTATGTTTCTAGGTTTGTCAGCACCATACCCGTGCTCGTGGGTTTCACCGAAGTGGTAATCGTCTGAGACCTGCATCACGTCGGGCTTTCCTCCCACATTAAGCTGACACGCCGCGATATAACTGGAATATTGTTAAAAGCGGCGTTAAACCCAACTCACTCACCCACTCATGTAATTCACAACGGGAATGACCTCCATCCATCATGTGCACATACCCTTCTTATCAGTGTCACATACACTGTGAACAGTAACTGAACAGTAAAGTGCCATATGGATACAGACGACCGGTGGATTTATTTGTTTTTATAAGAGATATAAAACGTCAGTCTCGATTATCTGCCGAAACATATTCCATTGGGCGTAAAAGGCAAAATCGAGATGTAAATTATATGAATGGATCACTGAAAATCAGTGATGACACCAGGTGTTCGTAAAAGTGAGTGAGTGAGGTTTTACGCCGCTTTAAGCAATATTCCAGCAATATCACGGCGGGGGACACCAGAAATGGGCTTCACACATTGTACCCATGTCGGGAATCGAACCTTGGTCTCTGTCGTGACGAGCGAACGCTTTAACCACAAGGCTACCCGACCGCCCCTGTTCGTAAAGGTACGGCATATTCAGAACACTCTACATGCGCCACAAATACATATATACACAGTGAGTGTCGATATTGTCCCCAGTGCCAAAATAGTGAGTTCGAGTTTACTATTGCTGTGTATATATATTGTCCCCCGTGCTGAAAGAAAAGGAGAAAAACACACTATGTTAGCTTACCTGTATATTTAACCGCACAAAATTGAATATGGAACCGAACGTGCAGTTATAATGTTATCATGTATTGACAATTAATTTGAAATGCCTGCCGACAAGGAATGAAAAAGAAGTACAACTGCGGTGATGCTGCCGTCAAATTGGCTGTTTCAGTCAGAGGGAGTTACTGACCAATCAGAATCGAGTAATTTCCAAATTCATGGTAGAACTTAAACGTAAACAGTGACGGGTATTTGTGACAATTGACTTGACTTTGCATGTGTTTGTGACGGGTGTACCGGTGGGGCAGGATACGCTCACCTTTACGCGAACACCTGGTATCATCACAAGTAGCCGGAATCGTACAAACGAGTCTGCTTTTGGCAGTTATTTCAATCACATATATAGTTCAGGGTCATGATCAGCACGACTAAAACCGGGTCAGTTATCTGAGTGGGTTCATTGGAGAACCATGACTATCCGTGACGGAGGTCGGAGACGTTTACAACTGGGTGCAGTCAATAATACGCTGACGGTCTGTAGATCATAACCTTAGATCATAAGCAAATCTGGGATTCGTACTCAAGATTATCGGAGCTTGATCGCTCGGGGTCGCAACTCTACACAGAGATTTGACGTACAAAGACCACTGGACCACATATGTCCCTTGTGTCTTCAATGTTTCGCAATTGTGTGTTTTCTCGGAATAAACCATGAAAAGTTGTGGTTGTTCCCATTGATAAGGCATCACATAACATAACCATTACATGAAAGCATCATTACATTAATTGTTAGGGGGCACGTGTTGCCCAGTCGTCTAAGGCGCCGCGATTCGCTGTGCAGAGTTGCGTCCCTTGGGTACGCCAGAAACCTATGATTGTGGGTTCGAATCCCGGTTCGCCCCGATTATGTTTCTAGGTTTGTCAGCACCATACCCGTGCTCGTGGGTTTCACCGAAGTGATAAACGTCTGAGACCTGCATCACTTCGGGCTTTCCTCCCACATTAAGCTGACACGCCGTGATATAACTGGAATACTGTTAAAAGCGGCGTTAAACCCAGCTCACTCACATTCAGTGTTTGACCAAAGAGCTTGGTATTCGTGACATGTGCGATAACGTCAGACGTGTATGTCAACTCAGGAAGATATCTGACAAAACCTTCTATCAACTCAAAAACAAGAAAAATGTCCATTCATCTGTTGTACTGGATTTCTAAGCTCCATAAAAAGTCCATACAAAGAGAGATTTATTTCTGGGTCCAGCAAATGTCTCTATCCTCAAAGGCTCAAGTGTTGACAATTTATGAAAAATGAAGTCAAATGTCATCTGATGTGTACTTTCCATTAGTCAACTGTCCCAGTATGTAGAGCAGTCTGGTGTCTCTCATTTCGAAACATTTTGAGGTACAATCGAACAGGCTCTTTGTTCAAAGATTTCAAAGACCATCATATGACTTGCTCATTTATTTGATCAGAGTTACATTCAAGGCAATACTAAAGCTTTCGAAAGGTTTTATGGTAGACATGTGGTGGACATTTCCAAATTTGACGCATCAGTGACAAACATTATGACTGATGCAATTCCCTATTTTGACATGTGTCATGTGTTCCATTGCTTTTTAGGTGAACACTTGACTTCCCTTTGCATGTGCTTTTGACGGGTGCCACCTTTGGCGACAGGAGACGCTCATCTTTTCGCAAACACTTGATGGTGATTCATAAACACATGCTCATGCTATAGTCGGAATCGTATAAAGGAATCTGCTTCCAGATGAATATCGAAAGAGTTTTGTCGCTTTTGCATCCACCATACATGTAGATATGTTGCTGGAGCGTTGTAGGATGCTAGTAGTGCAGGTTCGAATCCCAGAATCACATTTTCGCATCGTACTCGTGCTCGTTGGTTTCACCAAAATGGTCTAAGACATACTTCACTTAAGGCTTCACTCTCTGAGTCTCTTCAAGCTGACATGCCGTGATAGAACTGACCATTGTTCAAAGCGGCGTACAACTATTACGCATAAGAATCATCACTGTAGGCAAGATTGTGACGAAGAAACGGTGCAAACAGGGATCAAGACAGTGAGAAGAACATAATTAAAACACACTTCAACGTCCATTTTATTAACAATCTCATTAGAATCAGACCTTAGTTCTCGCTACCGCTAACCAAAGATCTGAGGACATCCCATTACGGGTCACGTCAGAACGACCTTTCGCGAACATTGACCGACCAATGAAATGACTGACAAGAAATCGACATTGGCCAATCAGAAGGCAGCTTTCTCGTGCTGTACGGCAATATTTTCAAACTGGCGACTACCCTTCGAAACATATTTTGACGTATTCTCGATTAAAAAATTAAAAACTGACCAAAACAACATTCTGGAATGGCTTATAGATGGCCTAGATTGTATGGGTATAATCATAAAACCCGTAACTGTCGTTCGGAATACCCTCTGTTAAATATTTCGTGGTTGCATAATTAGAAAACACATTCGGACTGTCACTTTCAGGATGTGGTAAGCGACGCCCTGATTGGTTGGATGAAAGGTCGTGCTGACGTGACCCGTAATGGGATGTCCTCAGATCTTTGTTTTAGCGGCAGCGAGAACTGATTTTAATGAGATTGATTTTATTAATAACATATCACTTGTGTGACTGTTCATTCAACGGGAGATGACGATTCTTCCTCTCAGGTGGATGTTGAAGCTAATCTGTGGAATAGAAGACATATCGATAACTTAGTCAGTTTGCACATTCATACGGTAAACAACTTCTACTAAGTGAGTGAGTGAGTGAGTTTGGTTTTACGCCGCATTTAGCAATATTCCAGCATATCACGGCGGGGGACACCAGAAATGGGCTTCACACATTGTACCCATGTCGGGAATCGAACCCGGGTCTACGGCGTGACGAGCGAACGCTTTAACCACTAGGCTACCCGACCGCCCCACTTCTACTAAGTAATACAGCGACAGCTAAATATGTCGAGTGAGTGTGAGTGAGTTGGGTTTTACGCCCCTTTCAGAAATATTCCAGCAATATCATGGCTAGGGACACCGGAAATGGGCTTCACACATTGTACCCATGAGGGGAATAAAACCCGGGACTTCGATGTTACGATCGAACGCTTTAACCACTGGGCTACCCCACCACCCCTAAATATGTTGAATACATTCTAAATTGTTAATTTTCATATTTTAAGAGAACGTTTAAACTACATATGCATATGAAATGGTTATAACATGACATCATATATCATATTCCAACGATTGAGGGAGTGATTATAAATATCACGGGGCCTTGAGGTAGCCTAATGGTTCAAACATTCATTCGTCACGCTAAAGGCCCGGGTTCGATTCCCCACATGGGTACAATGTAATTATGGTGTCCCCTGTCGTGATATTCCTGGAATGTTGCTAAATTCGACAAATCATAATCATAAGAAATATCTGTTATATATGTTAACGTACCATTTCTTGCCGTGTGAACAGAACGATTACTGGTATTCCCTTCTGTGTAACATTTTCTTCCGGGGATAATAAGGACGCCGATGTCCTGACTTTCGACTCTTATCCTTCTTGGCGTGAAGGAACTTCTCAAGAGCAATGGCAGTTTTGGGCACAAAGGGCTTCTCCCCAAGGCATGGTGATGTGACTTGCATCGGTTCCCATGCTTGGGTGGTTTGCAGAAAACATGCCAGGGCAAGCACTGCCACGGTACTCCACACTTTAAACTCCATTATCTGTTGAAGAAAGTGAATAATATCAGTTGTTATACTTAATTTCAGGAAACTCTGAACACCCAGTACCTCTCAGCTGAGTCTGGTTTCGAACCTTCTTACTCAGGGCCCACTTGCACAAAGCGATCTTAGCGCTAAGATTATCGTAACTCCCATACTTTAACATAGGCTTACGATAGTCTTAGCGCTAAGATCGCTTTGTGCAAGCGGGCCCAGGACTGTTTGCATCTTACAAGCCGTACAGATAATCAGCTTTACCAAGTAACATCTTTGTCAACAGATATACAGTAAACTACGGTTATAACGAACTCAAAGGGACTACTAATTTTAGTTCGTTATAACCGTAATTTGTAATAAGCATGTATACAGCATAACTACAGCATATAGTCCGGACTAAAAAGTTAGTTCGTTATATCCGTTAGTTCGTTATAAGCGTGTTCGTTATAACCGTAGTTTACTGTAACAGGTTTCGACCATTAAGGTCATGAGCTTTTAGAATGAGCGATTAAGTGCTTATAATGTGCAAGTCGTTTTGAATGATTGATAATCAAAACTTATTTGGTTTTCCAGTCTTCTGATCTTTGTCTGAACATCGACAGAAATATGAAATATCTCCAATATCTTAACAAGCCCATTCATATCCGAAACCAACAACAATATGTATTAATCTTACACAAGATGTCCATGTCTTCCTTCCTGCTGAATCTAACTTCTTGATAAGTAGGTAACAATTTACGCGTAGGGAAAGTGGTGGTTTAAGACTGCCACTGCCACCTACAATTTGAGGTTACTTTGCTTCTGATAGACACGTTGAAGAAATGTCGATTTGTCAAGATCATACGACAGACAATTTACCATAAAGTTACAAATACGTGCTGATTTTAATAATATATCAGATCCTATTCCTTCACTGAGGGTCACAGATTGCAAATGTCGTGCGTACTAGCTTTAGGAAAATCGCCACTAATTTCAGAATAAACCGTTATTTAGTACATGTTAGTGCTATCGGTAGAGCAGGACATGCTTACCATTGCTTGCGAACACCTGGTGTCGTCGCTGCCTCATGTCATATTCACGACTATTTGCCTTTTACGCCCAATGTATGTTGTTGTCATATGGTGTCATAATTTGATATAAATTTGATTACACATGAAAAACTATAAATTTAATAATTAATTGTCAAGTGAACTAAACATGAAATTGGATACATACATACATTAAACATCTAAATATTGTCAAATATCAAATTATTCATCAGGTCAACCATTTTTCAAATTATGATCAAAAGGAATAAAAATTAATGGCAATGCCACTCTGAATATCTTGTATTAAAGTATCATTTATTTTTAATTTCTCGAAACGAAATACGTTTTAACTATACTCACGGTGTGTGACGGTGGCTAAAAGAACCGTGTAAAACTGCCATATTCAAAGTCAAACAGGCGCCTTATATGTGTCTACAAATGAGATACATGAAGCCATACAGCTGAGCCAGTTATTGCCTTACGGACATGAAGCCTTGGGCCTATCATTATCCGAAGTCAACACATACACTCCAGTGAACATATGACCATTTTCCTGATGTGGTGCTGATAATATCTGATTTCTCGTGCCTTCTTTGTGTTGTATTGCTACCATGGCTCTCCTTTAGTTTTATAAATGACTAGATAAAAATGCCGATAATAATTGATGAAATAGTTTACGCTTCATTATCGTTTTAGATAAAAACCATTTTACTTTGGGGAATTTTAATCACTATGGGAAATGTATAATTATCATAATTGAAGTCTCGAACTGGTACCATGATTTGCTTTCGCGAGTTAGATATACATGTATTCGTATTTCTACCTACTCATCTCACAAAAAAACCCATTCATATCACGTTTAGAAGTATGTTTGACTCAGAGTAATAGTCCTTAAAGTAAAAAAAAGTTTCGCAAAGGTTTAACACGTTTGGTATACAAAATGTACAAGAGATGTATGCTTTTTAGGTCATAAAGACTCTGTCCTGGAAGATGAGAAACAAGTATAATTTTGACCCCTATTTTGCCTTTCATGCAAGGTGAAATCCGTTTCGGCGCGGACGTTTTTTATGATTCAGTTGTACACTTTATGAGGATTTTAGTATTAAGCTTCGGCATGTGTTATTTGACTGTTATAGCAATATTCCTTCAGATACACATGTAGCATAAACATACGTACACTTAAAGCAAAAGACAACAATTGTGTACCAGCCAAATACGCATGTATCTTAAGTGAAGAATTCGATATGTAACCTTAGCAGCGTCAACATATATGATCAATGCTTCTTTGAAACATTGATGATATGACCTTGAAAAAAACAATAAACGTCTCGAATTCTAAAAATGTGTACATGCTAATTTTGATATTAACTGACTCGCTGAGACGCAAGTATGTGGCAGACCACGTTCATCAATTGCTCTTATACCATATAAGTGATTACATTTCAAATATTTCACGATTTCTCTTGTTCAAACAGTAACTCATTTTAAGCGATTGTAAGTGAGAAATCAGTTATGATTGCACGATGTTTTGCGAAACGTATATGTTATTTTTTTAATAGTTTCTTCTGATAGTGGTTCTTTGGAACCAACTCCGCAAAGCTTGTGCCCATTTTAAAAACATTACAGTGCGTGCTTATTTTACGGCTGCCAAAACAGTCCTCCACCTCTTCAACACGCAAGTCATCCTCCTTATATATCCATCCACTGGCCCGTGATGTACTGATTCACTGATTAATGATAAAGGTTCACCTTATCGCCACGCTTGATTGCAATACGTTAAACTGACAATTGTATAAACGTATATGTTTTTGGGTTTGTTTGTTTTTTCAAATCAGTATTACCACATTTCAGAACTTCCTTCAATATGTCAAATACACGCCTGTCAAATTAATCATCAGGATTATGTTTTTGCACGGTACAAATGGTACTGACGTCCTATTACTGACTCAGTGTTAAGCTTCATTCACTCGCTGAAGGTTCACCAGGAAGCGAAAAAATATCCCCTCTGGCCTAAGAGAAAGGAAACCCCAGCATCCATGTTTGATGGCATAACACAATTCAACATATTACTTGCCTTGGCTGCCTCTCGAAGATTTGACTGGATTCTCTCCTAACCCAGATCATGGGAATACCGAGGTTAGTTCTCAATCTTCATGTATGATATAAGTTTATGGTTCAAAATACTTGAGCAGTGTGATTATAGAAAAGATGAATTAATCGCGTTATCAATCACCATTCGCTTGTGCTTTTGCTATCTATGGATATTTGGAGCAACTAGGTTTTAATTTGTTCAAAGACCTTGTTCAAACACGGAATAATTGGATATGTCAACTTTTGATAAATATGGAACCATATGCAGGGAATATGATGTATATTTTTTAACTTCAATATTAACATTGGTTGGGTGATTATATATTCAATTACCTTTAGTTGTGAACGAGTGAATTGTTCAGGTATGAGACGAGCGTGGTATCTCACGGGCAAATAGTAAGAATCGTGAATCGGTTCAGTGTCAAGTGCTCCCATCAAAACACTGGTATTGTATTGGTGACAAGAACGGACTCTGTTTTGTTTGATTACGACAATACACCTATACATCTACGATATCACTATCTAACTACTGGTGAGCCAGTGAGTATGGTGAGCTGAACCAACCTGTTTGACATAAGTAGGCAGTGCACAGAATTTGGGCAAACATAATTGGTTTGTTACAGGTAGAGATGGTAGGCCATGATGATGACATTTACTACGCTCCCGTGGACACACGTGTTGCTCATAAGACTATTACGAGGTCGGTGTGACAAGTAGATACCAGAATAACTACCTGTCACCTATGAAAATACACAGTGTTTATTCCAAATACAATATATTTCCAAAAAATCATGTATTTGGAATAAACACTGTGTATTTATCTCACCAAGGCTCGCAAAATACAATGTTTAAGTTTGGATACAGGATATTTACCATAAAAAACACATAATACAAGATACCTATGTTCCAGAGGATCAACACATGGGGTAGGAACATGGGGTGTACGTTGTCACATAGTGGTATACATGGTGCTGTTGACATTGTTAAATCTACATTGGTAAAGTTGTCAATTTTCTTTCATTAATGAACGAGATCAGTGAAGGTAGGCAGATATTGTTAATATTTAAACCCACAAGGTTGTGGTGCGTTTGTATTTTCAAATCAGTGAATCATAACCTTCTATATGAGAGTTGCCTCCCTGTTCACTCCTATAGCCTGAAACGTCAATTATTTACGTTGTCCAAAAGTGCTAATACCTCGCTACATAGAAACTGGGTCAACGATTCCCGCATAGCAATATACTGTAGGCTGTATCCGGTCCTCTCGATATTGCAGATAATGCAATAATGTCCTGCTTAAATTCAATCATCAAAATATGCATCTTCATCTCTCACAAACGGTATCTAAACATTTGCAAGTTTTCCAGGAATATGCGCACTAATATGTTACATCACAATGTTACTGATTAGTTAGTCGGGTAGTGACAACAGTAAATATAGTTCCAACTGCAACTTGTCTTTCAGACAGTGGCAGCACTACCAGATAGGCATTAAGACCTTTGCTAACAGATACTTTTTCAACTTTGTCAGTGATCGCCCTTCGCGGCAGTTGATCTATCTGTCTCCCCGCTGGTGTAATTTCTCTTTATCAAAGGGAATTTACTCTAATCTATGACACGTGGCGTTTGTTCAGCGGTGCCTTGCCCTCATAAAGTTTCGTAATGGGTTTACTAAATGCAGTCAGAAATCCCGCAAAGCGACAAAATGAAACGAGGTAGCATTTCGGATATATTTCGGTCAAATCGATCTACAAGCAAACGTATGGGTACTGACCCGACCGCTAAATCCCAATACATATCTCCAAAGTTGCCTACACATGTAACCCGTGACGATCCGGGGTAAAATAGGTCTTCAGCAAACCATACTTACCATAAAAGGCGACTATGCTTGTCATCGATCCCAATTGCGTGGATCGATGCTCATGATGTCAATCACTGGATCGTCTGGTCCAGACCGCCGTCATATAGCTGGAATATTGCTGGGTGCGGCGTAAACCAACAAACCAACCAACCAAACCTACACTTGTGAAAAGCCTCAGCCAAGATAGCTGTTACTGACGGTATACGGTCTCATATTAGGTCATTAGTTCTGTTCTCTGATAGGTCATTCTCACTTTGAGGCATAATAAATAAACATGTACCATGCAGCTTTAAGAAAATAGCGTCATTCTCATAATCATACACACATATTGACGCTATTTGCTTTCACAAATATAAATCTAAAGTCCTACCTGTAGATCGACCTTTTAAAGTTTGAAGCTCATATTTTGCAGAGCAAAGATTAAGATGCTCATCGTCCTGCAATGTCTTCTTGTGTATACTATGGCGGGAGTGGTACCTTGGAAGGCAATTCATCGACCGAATCCCAGCCAACGACGTTTCATGGACTACAATGATTTCCACAATAACAAGGATACTAACCCACAAAGGCGAACGATTTTCGGCAGCAGCACTCGCCCACAGGAGTACGAAGGTGGAACTCCTCGTCCATATCTTGTCTTTGAAGGTACTCTGAAGATTTACCCTGGAGTAAGCAGCGTTGACCTGTTTCAATACTTAGATAACCTTCTTCAAAATATTATTGAAGTGTGAACGTCTGTTACTAAGGGAAACATGTTTCACTCGTAAATGAATAAAAGCGATTGTTAGATATCGTGTATATATTTGTTGACGTTGTTGGTGGTGAAGTATTCGAATTACCTTTGATGAAAATTGATCGAAACATTTGGAATAAACACTGTGTATTTATCTCACCAAGGATCGCAAAATGCAATGTTTAATTTTGGATACAGGATATTTACCATAAAAAACCCACAATAGTGATAATCTCTTTATCATACAAGATACCTTTGTTCCAGAGGATCAACACATGGGCTGTTACGTTGACACAAACATAGTGGTATACATGGTGCTGTTGACATTGTTAAATCTACATTGGTAAAGTTGTCAATTTTCTTTCATTAATGAACTAGATCACTGGAGCCATGCAGATATTGTTAAAATTTAAACCCACAAGGTGGTGCGTTTGTATTTTCAAAACAGTGACTCATATACGTCTATATGAGAGTTACCTCACTGTACTCCTGTAGCCTGAAACGTCAATTATTCGCGTTGTCCAAAAGTGCTAATACCTCGCTACACAGAAACTGGGTCAACGATTCCCGCATAACCATATGCTGTAGGCTGTATCCGGCCCTCTCGATATGGCAGATAATGCAATAATGTCTTTTTTAAATTCTATCATTAAAATATGCATCTTCATCTCTCACAAACGGTATCTAAACATTTGCAAGTTTTCGTGGAATATGCGCACTAATATGTTACATCACAATG